TCCCTTTCACTCGCCCTCAGGGAGCAGTGTCCCTGGTCTTACACTGTCCTCTTCACCTGGAATTGAGTCCCCGGAGTTTCAGGGCTTTGTGTCTGGAGTTGAGCTGCAACAATGGCTTCCTGATACAGTCATGGGACCCAGCACAAATCACTGTGTGAGTCATGCCTTCATGAATCTTTCTGAGTAACTACATCTGTATAGATAAATATCCTGCTGTTTGTGTCCCATTGGGGAATCCTGGTTAGCCTGCTACACATTAGCATAGTTTGCTGGTGAAAAAAAAAAAAAATAACCACATAATGCTATGTAAGTTGTCTTGTTTGTTTGGTTCTTGATACTGTGTTCCTAACAACCCTGCCATGGCTACTCTAAAAAAAACATTTTAGTGAAATGATATTTTCATAAGCGGTTAAAATTATTTTAAGACCTCAAGGTGAACTCTAGTCAAATTTTTTGGAGAAAAACTTTTTTTGGAAGAAATATCCTTTGTTCTGACCCTTAAAAGATAGATAAACAGGCATGGTGAGAGAAAAATTAAGGAAAGTAGGCTTTCTAGGTGTGAAGGAAGTAGAGAAGCTGAACATGATGGTATCTTTGTCAAAGAAAGGAATGCGATTATAATGTAACTAATTAATTAATGTAACTGATTAGCATTAACTATAACTCTACTAACTTGCAATATTCCAGGTAAATTCTTAATATTTTAACTGTAGCATTATTGGTGTCTTAATTGTAAACATTTTATTTCATTAAGGATGCTGGTTAACATTTTATGTAGCATATTACAGAATGGATATTGCTGAAGTTATTTTCTCTACAAATCTCTGTCTTACCTGTAAGTTTTGATTCTAAAGCTTGATCGGCTCCATGCCTTTAATACACACATTCATTTGAATCCTACATGGTCTTTCTACCTTAGTGTATTGAGATATCACTCAGTGTCTCAAAAACCATCAGAAAACTGTAGTTCCCCATCGAAGTACAATGATTTCTTGGAAAATATTTTATTGGTGTACATTGGGGTTCGCATCATTGATAAAAGCCATGGTCAGAGTAACTGATACCTAGAGCTCTGCAAAACACAGACAAGTACCTCCACATTTGCATATACCCATGCTTCTCTAGATACCTATTTTGGAAATAATCATACTTAAATTCTTCACATGTTTTATAATTAAACCATGACACATAAGTAATGAGATATAGATATATGTGTCATTCATTCCTGTATTCCCAAGGTGAATGTCTATCATACTAGGCAAGAAGAATATACATCTCAGCAGTGAGCCCATGCATTTTCCTCCTGGAGATTCTCTCATGTCTTTAAAAGCATACCTTCCAATATTGCTAATTTACACAATCATTTCAGTACTTCTTGATTTGTAGAACTTATTCATGATATAAGTTTGGAAAATATTTACTTTCATCTAGTATTTTTCATTAGCAAATCATCAATTTACAAACAGCATTGTAGTTTTGGACGAAATATGCCATGCATTTTTGTTCAGAATATTTAATTGCTAAAAGATAGGTTCCACAGTTTAATATACTTTCACTTTTCCTGAAAATCATTGTATTTATTCTACTATTTATAGAAATAATCATATACCTTACAAGAAGTGGAGTTTAGGTTTTTCTTTGTCAGTTGTCAAGAGTATATTATTAGCTCCAATGAGCTAATTAGAGCATTAATATTTGGGCAGGGTATATAGGTTAGTGGCACAGAGATCGCCTGGCAAGTGCAAGGTTTTGAGTTCATTTCCTTGTGCCAAAAGCAACAATGAAAAAGAACACTGAATTTCACATGCAGAGAAGAAAATTTTTTAAATGGAGCATTCAGTGATATTATAAGGGCAATATTACTTTTAGAAATAGTCACACATTATCTTACTAATCAAACAACTAACTATTTTAATGTGTATCATTGTAAACAAAATGGTAATGATGCAGAGGTAATGGAATGTTAATTAGATAAAACGTGGTTTCATTTTTCAGGATATACCAATATGTCACTTTGTACACTGTACAATATTTATATATCACAGATATATCTCATTAAATGAGAAAATGAACCACTGCACCGTATTGGTGCAATTTACTATTCTAAATGCTGAATTACAACAAGGATATCCTTACCTTTCCTGTATTCCTTCATTGATGTTTGGAAATATTACATAGCCTTCTAAATTTCCATGGTAAAATTGAGCATGAGAAGACATCGAAAGAGACAATTTTCTGGGTCTCAGAAAGCGATCACAGCTTAGCACGACAATTTTATCTTTCCAGTTCCTGTATTCTGACCAGCATCAATCGTGTGTTGGATGTTTTTCTGTCACAAGTTAAAATGATTCTTATAACTCTCCCAAGGTAACATAAGAGGGGATGCAGTATCAAAATGTCCATGCTTTCAGTTTCAGAGATTAGCTCTGTAATAAATCCTGTTGACTGTTACATTGCTCACTTTTTTGAACTAATCTTTGACATAAAGAGAAAATAAGCACCTGGTTTTCGTCGAGCAGCACGTTCCACATTGGTTCACTGGCTTTCTTCTTTTTAACCTGAAAATACAACAGACTTACTAAGTGGCTGACAGGTTCGCTTTTCTAGGGCTGAGGAAAGCTGGCACACATTCAGAGTATCAAACTTTGAAAGCCACTTAAATCCAGGGTACACTGCATCATTGGGTTTGTGGAGAATCTAGAGCCCTTACTCTGAGTGCATTCTCACTGATACAAATCCATCCTGGGCAAATGGATTCTTTTCCTTTAAATGTCTTGCATTCTTCAGCGGTTTTTGACAATTCTCTCTGTCTGCATTCCCACTCAGAAGCAAATTCCCCTTGACTTCCCATTATGACTATCTACTGGATGTACTTATTATGGTCTTATCCAAGGAAAACCACCAAGGGAGCCTAGCAAAAACATGTTTTGTTTTGAAGTGCGTCCCTAGGATACTTATTGCTGGAGTCTGAGCAAAGGCTTCAGTAACAAGCTGGCAAGCAAACATTTATTTCATTCGATGAGAGACAGTCAAATAACAGTTAGGCTTCTCTAGAGAATGCCATAATGTGAAATTTTTAAATTAAACTACACGACCTCTAGCAGGCCAAAAGCTCCTTCCTATTTCCCTGTTTGTTTTGAAATCTATTCTTTTTGTTTTCATGTTCTCAAGAAGGTAAAATATAAAGTCTTCTTTTTTCAGTATCCTTTTCAATAAAAATGAATGAAAATTTGTGTCTAGACACTACGCAAACAAAATTCCTCTTTTGAATCAGAAGCTGCATGGAAAAGACTATAAGAAATAGCATAAGAAGGATCCATTCTGATGCTATTGTTTGTGTCCTACTTTGTGCTAGAGTCTACATTTTAGACATTTACGAATTCTAATTACATTATAACATCTTTCTTAAGAGCAGCTAAAACACTCAAATGTGTAATTCCACAATTAGAATTAATCCAATGCTTGTGCACACACCACTGTTTTGGTTGATTTATTTAATTGTACGGAATGCACAAACTAAAATCAATCGCTGAGCACTTCCCATCACTCTCCTGGAATAAAGACAGACAAATATAATTCCAATTGATTCAAAAACACTCCTCCCTAGGTTCTTTAAATTTCTATGAATTATTACTTCCTTTCTCAAACTGAATGACCTTTCGCAAAACAGGAAATAGAGAAAAACAGGAGACCATTACAAGTTAAATAACCTTTCTAAAAGTTTACCATGGATTAGAAACAGCTACATAGATTCTCACTGAATCCTCAGGGAGACTGTGAAGTGAGAATTAATTTAGGTTTTAAAGGGAAGCCCTAGGATGGTAAGTGAAAAAGCACAAAGGAATTTGGACCCAGAACGATGTCTCAGTCAGCATTTGAATCCATGACTTCTGCTCCTTAGAGATCTCATTAACCTTCTCTTGCCACTTCTCTGAGGTTTAAATCATTTTATTTACCCAATCCTCTGAACCTGAGAATTCGTAGTTTTATCAACTAAGCAGAAAAAATAAACCTGTCCTCTTCATGTTTGCCATGATTGAGAATCTCTTATGCTTTTTCATATGTCTGACAAGGGACCCCTAGAGTGGCCATTCAATTTAGATAAACTCCTACACTGGGTCACTGCACTGCTTTGCTGGGATGCTGGATGGTTCTAATGGGTGAGCGTGGGTGGGATCCTGCTGCGAGCAACTACTGAAGTTGTTTCAGCTGTTCCCACCAATTTTGAATACAGCCAATCAGGCCTGAAACTCCTGTTATCAAAAGCTACGTGCATTACAAATCGCTTTAATGTATTCTGCAGTCATAAGAGGTGAGAAGTTCACGTGGGTGATAGTTTTCCGGGCACAAGCCAAGGAGGGTGGGCGAAGCACTGCGGTTCCCATTCATCTTCAGGAACACAGAGCTGACCTCCAGAGCAAGCTCTGAGTCCTCCCTGCCTGGAATTCATGGGGCTTAGGCATTAAAGGGCATGGCTCAGGCTCGATCGCGGCTACCCCTGACTATGGATCACTGCTGGATGAGCCAGCAGCTGAATGCTTAGCAGGCTGTGGCGACTCTGCACGGAAATATGAAAATCTATTACCAGCTTGCCACATCAGCGCCTGCCCTGCCTGCTTTTGCTAGTTGCCTCCTGCTGTCTACTCCCACTCCATCTGACAGTGAAACCCCGCTCCCCCGCACTCCCCTTTCCCTCCCCGGCTGAGAATGGATGGCCTCAACTGTCACGGAGTCCTGGCTGTCATTTTCCAACAGCTCAGGGATTTTTTTTTTATTTGGGGGGGGGGTGTCGATCTGTTTATTCCAACGATCTTTGCATTCATTGCACTGATTTTCAAACGACCTTGCCGATGGGGCTGTTGCACAGTGTCCGTTCAAGTGCCTTAGAATCCGTGCAGCCCCGAAAGTCTCCTACGATGGGGTGGGGGAGGCAGGAGGCTGGAGGGGAAGGCGGCAGGGAAGAGAGGAAGGAGAGACAGGCAGAGCCGAGCAGCAGCCAGACAGGCGCTGCCAGCCAATCAGAAGCGCGCTCCGGAGCTGCAGAGCCTGGAGCTGGGCGCCCGGGCTGGAGGTGCGCGAGCCGAGTCCGGGCTCTGAGGACCGCAAGCAGCTGTGCCCGGAGCTCTGGGAAAGTCCCCTCTCTGCTGTTCATGCATTAAGTTCCTTTCCACCAGTTAGGGCAAGTCAGCTAAGGTAAGCTTCCATCCATGCCACTTTCCTCTGTCGTGACATTAATATATATATTTTGTACCGGGGGCTGCTTACCTAGTTGAGAGTCTAACGCCTATTTGGGGAAATCTTGCTTCTTGCATGTGCGTTTCGCAGGATCTCATGTTAACCGGAAAGTTGTGGCTCCCGCCGTAGCCCCACGGCCGGCACACGTCTGGGTCTGGTTAGGCTGGGTTGTGGCGGTGCAGCCTGGGTCTGTGCGTCCCCGAACCGGCCAGGGCTCTGTCTGTGTTGCTCTGTGATGTGCCCTGCTGCTGTGCCCTGCCCCTGAAGAAGTTGCAGGGTTACTCGGCAAGGCGCGTTTGGATCAGGATGGCATCCGTGTCCGCTGTCATTTACGCGGATCTGTAGAAGTGAGCCAAAAGCATGATAAGAATCAGGCAGAGACGTTGCATTTGGATTTTCCATAGCGCTTTTTAATAATCGCCTTTCCACCATCCGCTAAAATTCCGTGGTATCTGAGCACTGAACTGCAGTAAGGTAGCTGAATGTTTCTTTTCCTTCTTTCATTTTTTTTTTTTTTTTCATTTTCTTTTGGTGAATCTCTTACTGGCTTACATAAAAGCTTATTAGGGCTGTAAATGAAACTTTTACTTTTTTAAAAAGGGCACTATAAATGATGGGTGGAAAGAAATTAGGTAGGGTTCTGTGACCAGTGCCACACTTTATTTAGTATACGTCCTTGTGTTTGCTTCACTTTCACTCGTTGATTTTTCTTAACTTCCAGAAGATGATGTTGTCAAGTGTGGAAGTACTACTTTCTCTTAATTTTCATATTTTTAGAACCAAGATAAAATTATGCCTTGTTCATGTCTGTGAGTGGGTATGTCTGTGTGCATGTGTGTGAGTGTGAGTGTGTATAGATATGGAGCTAGGCAAGCCTTTTCCTACGTAACAGGTGAAGAATATAATTTTATTAGTTAGGTTATTAAAATATTTCCTTATTTGTTGTCATATTCAGCGAGCTTTCTATGTCAAGAATAATCATAGTTTATTTAAACTCACTTGGAAATCTAGAAAAATTAAAATGAAAATCTTAGCTAAAATCATTATGGTCTTTGGTTTGTGCAGGTGATGGCATTCACGGCTCTGAGCCGAGAGACAGATCAGAGAAAGATTTTGTTATGCAGCCAACAAAACCCAACTAACTACAAATGCTGCCTGTATTTTTCAATCTTTATTTCCTCTCTGGAATCACCCACAGATTTTTCAAAACAGGGAGCTTTCCTTCTGCAGTAACTGTTTTTCTCTAGTTTAGTATTCTTGTCATATCCGAGAACATATTTAATTCTAAATCAAGAGTTTTGAAGTCCAGACTATATCTTATACATATTTTGTGAGATGTAGGAAGGGGAATACAGGAATAGTAGTAGAGAATTACTTCTGTGACATTCTGGTCCAAGCACCAATCAACATTGTAGTTTCCTTCAAGCTTCCTGGTGTGTACTTTTTCCTCTTATGTATTTAATTCCAAATTTACTGGTAATAAGTTAAACCAGTATAGGCCACCTTGACTATTCATCCCATAAGTCATTCATTTAATAGGAACTGTCATATATTATTCTATATGATTTTTTCACAGTTAGCTTTCTTAAGAAAAACAAACAGTATTAATGGTATACATTGGTTGCCTGACAGCAAAGAAATGTAGAAAATGACAATGCACTGTTTTAGATGAAACAGAAATCCATCCAATAGGAGATCACCCAATAGCAAAAGAGCATACAATAGGAGGACAGTGACAGGAAACTAGCTGTAACTATATCCAGTGCATGCTCAATATGATTAGTTATGCTAATTTGAAAGCATGGGCAGTAACAGCTACCATTTGGATCAAGTCTATACATTAAACACATTGCAAATTATTGTTCCTACCAAATATCCATTTCAAGTAGAATTAGATTATATGAGTCTCTCTCATATCATAAATATTTTAGATAAAACATGCTATAAGAGGTAACCCTAAAGGACTTTGTTTCCACTGGCTGATATAAATAGCATTATTTTGTTTTGTATTGATTTTCATGATCTGATGAATACAAATCACAGATTTAGAAGTCTGTGTTCCCTGCCTTTTCAATACTTGGCTTATTGATGACTAAGAGACAGAAGTATCCCAATGTGTACATGCTGACTTGAGTGTCACACACAATCTAGGCATGCACATGTCCTTCAACAGATCTAGGGTGAGACCTACTGATCGTATTGACCTTACTTGTCTGGAGTCCATATATCTGATACAGGATAGTCCAGTGAAGAGCAGAAATATTGAGAGATTAAAGACAGAAAGTTTGTAACTTTAAAATAGAGGACAGAACTGCAAACTTTTAAATTTGATCATGAGATTTTATTAGAGTTGTATTATATGTGTCTACAGAACTAGATTCCAGATTAGGCCTTTTTAACTTTACTGCTGTTGATATTGTGGGCTTTTAAATATCTGAGAATCTGGCAGCCTGTCCTGTGTATTGTGATCTCATTAGCAGCATGCCTGTTTTCTAGGTGCTAGATGCCAGTAATAGGATCCCACGCAAAAGTACCGCCATATTTGTTAACTGTAGCATTGGAGGACTGAATACACTGCGAACGGTTTCTCCAAGAAAAAGAAGTTTGTATTTTAGGGTCATACACAGTACGTTGTAGACTTTCCAGTTTCTACTAGTATCTAACCCACTCTTCTTGCTTTGATAACAAATGGATTTCAAGTTGTGGCCTGTATTGGACTAAAAGAGTAGTATGGAAGAACATAATCTTATATCTTCTTTTTTTTTCTGAAAACTGACAGCTTGTGGTCATACTGTTGTCTGCTAATGTAGAGGGGCCCTAACTAAGAAAATATTGAGAAAAGCACAATGCAGATGTTAAGCTGAACAAATTTTATTTCAGTTTATCAGATCAAATGCACTTTTAATTCAACTGATAAATAACTGATTCTCTAAAATAGATTCAGTTATTTTGGGATGAGGTATTTATGTATATGTGGGTTGGTAAAATAGAAAGTTCACTCCAGTAATACTATATGTTTGCTCTACTTCTCTGTGTTTCAAATTGCTAGAAATAACATAAGATTTTTAAAAGTGTAGCTCTATGTCGTATTTTCTTTATTTCTTCATTCATTGATGCACGTGTAAGTTGTTTACAGTGCATTGAAATTGTGAATTGTGCTGTTATAAGCATGGGTATGCATGTATCACAAAAATAGCATTTTTTAAAAAATCTGGGCTCGAACTTATGACCTTGCATATGCCATACAGGAAGAACCTTGTGCCGCTGAGCTAAACCCCTGACCCTAATAGCATGTTTAGCTGTCCGGGGAATATCCCCCATATAGGTATATCTGTGTTAATTTTAAGGAATATCCATGCTGATTTCATTCATGGCTGTATTAGTTTACTTTCACATCAAGACATAAAAGGATTCTTTTTATCCTACAACTTGCCAACTGTGTGAGTGTGTGTGTGTGTGTGTGTGTGTGTGTGTGTGTGTGTGTCCTTGATGGCAGCCATTCTGGTTTAAGAAATAATGCTAGAAATATTTTGATTTTTATTTCCCTATTGGCTAAAGAGGCTGACAGTCTTTCAAGAAGTCTTTAAAGAAGTACAGAAGATCAGTGTATATATTTCTGTACTGTATTTCTTGAAAGATCTGTCCATTTTGCTCATTTCCTCATTTTTGATTAGGTCATGTGGTTATTGAAGATTCACTTTTGAAGTGCTTTATCTATTCCAGGTCCTCTACCAGAAGAGTAAGTGGCAAAAATAATTTTCCTATTTTATAAGTTGATTTTTTCTTTGCTATGCAGATGTTTTGAGTTTGACATAATCTTATTTTTTTTTTTTTTCTGGGATTGAACTCACAAACTCGCATCTGCCAAACAGGCACTTATGCCATTGGACTAAACCCTTGGCCCCTATTTGTTAATTCTTGACAGTAGCTTTGATACTAAAGAGGTTCTCCTTATGAAGTTCCTTTTGGTGCCTATGGATTCCTCCTTCCAGAAGAACAAGTTCACATCATCACCAGGAAAACTGATGGGATTTGGGCCCATCATGTTAAGTAAAACAAGTCCAGTAAGGAAAATTTAAACATTGTATGGTTTGTTTAATATAAGAAATCTAAAATAAAAATAGAGAGTAACAGGGAGAGATGAAAGGAGTTAGAAAGACTTTTTTATTTTTTTGAAGGAAAAGAGAAGTAGGAAGGAGAAATGTACAGAAGAGAAAGGGGCTAGAAAATGATTGCAGCACAGTAGATCTCTGTACCAATTTCCCAAAATGAATGAAAATTTTGCTTATTGGAAACCTATACCAGTGTAGACGGGGAACATAAAACACAGTTCTTTGATAGTGATACAGTGTGACACAGTAAAAGACAGTGAGTGTAATGAGTTGGAGCCTCTGCACTTTGGACACTGCTGAGGGTTCAGTCCCATGTGGCCTGTCTTTAGCCATTTTCCTAGTAAGAAGGGAGGTAACAAAAGCTATAAAAACGTGTTATATTTTGTGTAATTTTTAAGGATCAGAGTGAATGCTGGTAAATCACTATAGATTCAGGGTCTTTGATGACTTGGTTAATAATAATTGATTCAGGACCCTAGAACTCCCAGCTTTTCCAATATGGATAAAAATCATGTACAAGAAGGTTAATGTCTTCTTAAATGTATTTTTGTGAAGAAATAAGATCTTCAATTTTAGAATCTTTATAATTTTATTGAAAAAAGATAAAAACAAAATAATAGAGAAAAACAATAGCTAATACTGAACAGGTTGTTGTCTTTAAATTAGTTGTTCAAGGCACACGATATGGGCATAAAAATTGCTCGAGTCAATATTAACACAAACCTTCCTTTTATGAACTAAGAGACACTGATAGCACAACTGATTTGAATTTTTCTCCTTTTTCCTACTGACTTTTCCCCTTTCACTCATTCTAGTTCCTTTTTCCGTTTGAATAATTTCTTCCCA